GCCAGATGAGGGTGTAAAAGAGCATGGAAGTGAAGAAATAAAGGAAATAAAGGAAAATTGCAATGGCTACCCCAAATTTTCAGGCTTAGGTATCTGTAGAACACCCAGAAATCTCCCCTAAAACAGCCCAGTGACAGCTGTGCTGTCAGAACTGGAAATCTGCAACAATCTAGAAATTCCTACCAGCAAAAACAGTCTGGTTCTAAAAACTGCTTTGTGTGCCAGCCACTAATTGGGAACATTGGAGCTGCCATCTGCTAGGAAGGAACAAAAACTCCCCTCAGCAGCCCAATCCTGCCATTTTCCATGCCCCCTAAACAGCCTGGGGCTTGTGGTTAAGAGTGACCCTGTGAGGGAGGTGGGAAACATTTCAAATTATTGACTGTGTTTCACTCTGAGCAGAAAATCTGGATTTAGATCCGATAAAAAGTGGGATCATCAATGATTATACAGCTTCAGGAGTTAGTGATAATTTTTATGCTCATCCCAAGCATGCCACTGGTGATTTTTGGTGACAGGGTCAGTGTGCTGCTGTCACAGCAAGTGGGGTTTACCAGCCTGCCTGGGTGTCCTGCCATCAAGCTGTGCTTGTGCAGTCACGTGGAGCCAGAGATTAATTAATTTATGCTTTAAAGGCTTCATTTGTTGGGCCTTCTTGCAAAGGAGAGAAAAAGAAGGGGTTGATCACTGAGACAACAGAATGGTTTGGGTTGGAAAGGAGCTTTAAGCCCATCCATGGGCAGGGACACCTTCAACTGTCCCAGGCTGCTCCAAGCCCCAAAATCCAACATGACCAACACTTCCAGGGACTCAGGGGCAGCCACAGCTGCTCTGGGCACCCTGTGCCAGGGCCTCACGTCCCTCTGAGTAAAAATATCCTCACTCCTTTTGTGCTGGGATTAGGGAGCACCCCAGGATTGTGCCTCATCCTCCTCTGTGAGAGGGGATGGGAAAGGGCGGGAAGCTGCAGCAGCAATCCTGACCCAGCTCCCTGTATGTGGGCACACCTCCACTCAATCACAGGAGGCTGGAATTTGTCCTGGTAATTCCTGAGATCATCCATATTTATCAGCCCTCAATCACAGCAGGATTTAGGAGACATCTGTGTTTCTTGTGCAGAACAAAAGGCGGATATGCTGCTGGAATATTAAGATTAAGTGCAGCCCTTTCTCTTCTTTGACAGTCATAATGCAACTCTTGAGATGTCATAGATCTCTTGCTAATGAAGTGTCAAAAATATTTACCTTCAGGACAAATTACATGAATAGCAAACATCCTTCCTAGGATTAGAGAAGTTTGGGAGGTTCCTGGGAGCAGCTCACAGGCTCTCTCTGCTGGTCCTGCCAAGCCCAGTGTCCTTAGGTTTGAGCCAAAGAGCAGAAAAGGGGGGAATGCAAACAACAAAGTTAAATATTTGAAGCTGGAATCTGATAATTTTCCCAGCCTTTTTGGCACCTGTTTGCTCATCTCTGGGTGGATGTGGAAAGAGCCTGAGCTGTGATGATGGTGGGGCTGCTGATGGCTCTGGGGTGGCACTGAGCTCTCAGAACTGGTGACAATTAACTCAGCCTGTCCACCAGCTCGAGGCACCTGAACTCTGCAGGACTGTACAAGCTGTGAGCTTCAGATGTCAACAGGCCTCTTTCACTGGAGTTTAATGCCTTAAACTCAGCTGCAAGACTTGAACATCTCATTAGTGCTGAGCTCCCAGTGCCCTGAGCTTTGTGCGCAAGGCCTGACTTCATTTAATGCCTGTGCCTGCAGCATCAATACCTTAATTTGGATCCAAATTTTGTTTGTTTTTAGTCACACACGTCTCCAGGCGTGAAATGCTGAAGGTGAAATTGATTTCTGGTGTCATTGAAAGCAGTGACTATTAAAAGCTGTACATTTTATTGAGAGACAATTTGCCAATATTAAAAATATGATGGGATTCTGACCCAGCTGAACCAACCTCATAAATCCATTTTAACAAAGAAATTGGCTTTTTATTGGAAGGGCGTCCTGCTGCTCTCCAGGGCACCTCTAGGGAGCCTTTGGACTTCACTGGGCACTCAGTGGGAAACTTGGCTTGCTCATGGATGTCCCCAAAGGAGCTGGATCCTGTGGCTGGACATTGCTCCTGTGGCTGCTGCTGGGTCCCTCATGTGCCATGTGGGGTTACAGGAATTCTATTTTTCTTTCCTCCTAGTTCCATTACCACCATGCAAAGCTGAGTGTGGATAAACAAGAGGGTTTGGCCAGGCAGGACTTTCCTGGATTGGTCATGGCTTTATCCTGAGCTGTGTTGTATGAGCTGAATTTTCCCTGGATTCCCAGAATGGTTTGGGGTGGAAGGGACATTAAATCCCATCCAGTGCCACCCCATGCCATGGGCAGGGACACCTTCCACTGTCCCGGGATGCTCCAAGCCCCAAAGTCCAACCTGGCCTTGGGCACTGCCAGGGATCCAGGGGCAGCCACAGCTGCTCTGGGCACCCTGTGCCAGGGCCTGCCCACTCTGCCAGGGAACAATTCCTAATTCCCAATATCCCATCCAGCCCTGCCCTGTGTCAGTCTGAACCCATTCCTTGTGTCCTGGTGCTCCAGGCACAGCTGAGGCGCTGCTTTAATTTTTGTCATTGTTTCTCACCATCCAAACATGAGTCTGGTGTTTCTCTCCAGCCATTTCCTTGAGTTCAGGTTGGATTTTAGAAATGTTTCCTCGTGAAGGGGTGGCAGAGCATTGGAAGGGGGCTGCCCAGGGAATGGTGGAGCCACCAGCCCTGGAAGGAATGAGTGGATGTGGCACTGCACAATGTGGTTTAATGGTCAAGGTGACAATCAAAGATTGGCTGGGATGATCTTAGAGATGTTTTCCAACCTTAAAAAATTCCATGATTCTGTGACATAGTGTGTTTTCACATTCATTTCTTCCTTCAGCAATTTATTTATGTGGAAAGCCAACAATTTTCCTGACTCTCCACCTGCCAAGCTCCCATCTGCTGGCTCTGGGATGTTGTGGGGTTGTATTTCCCTGTGCCAGTTGGAAAGCTGGGATGCTCTGGAAAAGTCCACTGATATCTTTGCTTTTTTGACTGACAGAACAGAGTAAATTTCAGAAAGCTTTTTAACCTTCCCATCTTTCTTAAAATCACTAATAAAGGAGTTTGAGCTAACCCAGGAGGCAGCACTCTGGGTTTTAAAAGCCTTAAAAAACCCTGTGGGGCTGGAGAATAAAACCAACCTAACACATTTTATATATATGCTTTTGGTAGTCGAGTCAGATGAAGCTTTCTGAATTTAGAAGAAAGCAAAATATTGAGAGTGGGAATTTAACCAGTTGTGTGTCTGTGACAAGTGACAGCCAGTGTCATTCCGGGAGTTAATCTTTTGGGCTTATCTGAATAAAACTTGCTCTTTCCAGCTAAACAAGCCTGGATATTATTCTTTAAGTGCTGGATGGTTCTGTCTGGGAATCTGGGCTGATAGGAGTTGGAGTGCCATGGAGCATACACAGTTTTGAGCACCTGGATTGCTTATCTGGTGCTGGTATTCCCTGAAAAATTATCTGAGAATGAATAAAAAACCAGAAGGGACGATTTCCACCATATAGAACTTGTTCAGTGCTGGTGAGGAAACAATTAATGATGATTAATGGCCCCCTGTTGAAGGCTTAACGACCTTGCGCAGATAATTCTCTTTTAGTAGCTGTGGTGTCTCATAAACAGCTCTGCTCTCTGTGACCAGGAACAGGACCCCAGGGAATGGCTGGAGCTGGGTCAGGCTGGAGATCAGGAAAGGTTTTTCCCCCAGAGGGTGCTGGCACTGCCCAGGCTCCCCGGGGAATGGGCACAGCCCCAAGGCTGCCAGAGTTCCAGAAGAGCTTGGACACTGCTCCAGGGATGCCCAGGGTGGGATTGTTGGGGTGTCTGTGCAGAGATTCCTGTCCGTCCCTTCCAGCTCAGGATATTCCATGATTCTACAAACTCTTCATGCTGACAGAAACCCTTATTGTTTTTAATTCTTAAGTCATGGCACTGTATGGATTTTCCATGGATTTTACGTGCACCTTTTCAAAGTTAGGGCTGGTTTTCATTCCAGCATTAGCTCAAGCGACAGGCCTCAGGAGCAGTGCCAATATTTCCATAAAAACCTGCTGATAGATCCTGAAGTATCCCAGATGCTGGGGCTGTGACCAAGACTAATGAGTGCTCAGGCATTAATTAGCTCCCACCTTAGCTGATCCCTGGAAGGAGCACAGGAAAGCTCAGTCAAGGTCCTTGGAAACACTTCCCTCTGGATACAGGCTGAACAGGAGCATAAGGAATGGGGCTGGAGAGGCCAGGATGGGGCTCAACAGGCCTGTCAGGAGCAGGGAAGGTGGATTAACAATTCCTGGGGCTGCCTGGTTGATGCCAGCTCTGCATGCTGATCCAATTCAGCAACAGTGCCAGGGCAGCTCTGTGTCCTGAACTGGGGCACCCAGCAGGTTCCTGTGCACCACTGCAGGAATGCCACTCAATCCTTCCTTATTTTAATAAAAAGTTACTTGATTGCACCAAAAATACCTGTGCTCCAACAGAATATCTCTAATATGAAGGACATTATTGTCCAAATCTGTGCAGGGGTTGCTGAGATGGTTTTTTCTTTGATAATTCCTTTTCAATGAGAATTTGGCAGTGGAGGTTTCTCATAATTAAGCAGTTCTTAGGTATTGTTGCAGACTTGAAAGTCAACTTATATTTTTCTACTTTTTAATATTTTTTTCTTTCTTCTGGAGCAGTTTAATGCCAACAGAGGAGGAAAAAATTGCTGGAAAAGCAAAACTGAGTGCAGCAAAGTTAAATGAAGCATTTAAAGTAGCAGCCATATCTGTGCTCTGGGATCTAATGTTTTAAATGTCAGAGTGGCAGAAATTTGCTGGGCCAAGATGTAACTTTATTTAAAGGACAAGGTTAATGACTCCCTCCATGCATATTTACCTTGTTTGCCTGTGCTTGTTTCCTTTTCCCCATTAGGCTGATGATAAGGACACTGGGAATTACAGTGCCATGCAATACAGGCTCATCATTCCCCCCATCAAGGATGGCAAGGAGGGCTTTGTGATCGAGGCTTACACGGGGCTGATCAAAACTGCCATGCTCTTCAAAAACATGAGGAGATCCTATTTCAAGTTCCAGGTCATTGCCACCGACGATTACGGCAAAGGACTGAGCAGCAAAGCAGACGTGCTTGTAAGTATCAGCCAGGGATTATTGGTATGGAATAATTCCTCAGGAAATTCAAACACTGCAGGAAGTTTCATTCCAGGCAGATCTAGAGAAAAGCCATCAAGTGCTTGTGCTTAATTTTTTGAAGGCACTGGGATAAAGCTTTTCGTTTCTTAAACCAAAAGATTTTGTGACCTGTTAGGAGTTCAGAGGAGGCACCAGGATGAGCAGAGGGATGGAGCAGCTCTGCTAGGAGGAAAGGCTGGGAGAGTTGGGAATGTTCAGCCTGGAGAGGAGAAGCTTTGGGGTGACCAAACTGTGGCTTTCCAGGGCTGGAAGAAGCTACAAGAAAGATGGAAAGAGATTTTGGACAAGGGTCTGCAGTGCCAGGACGGGGAGGAATGGCTTCCCAGTGCCAGATGGATGGGATATTGGGAATTAGGAATTGTTCCCTGGCAGGGTGGGCAGGCCCTGGCACAGGGTGCCCAGAGCAGCTGTGGCTGCCCCTGGATCCCTGGCAGTGCCCAAGGCCAGGCTGGACTTTGGGGCTTGGAGCAGCCTGGGACAGTGGAAGGCATCCCTGCCCATGGCATGGGGTTGGCACTGGATGAGCTTTAAGGTCCTTCCAACCCAAACCATTCCATGATTCTGTGTCCCTTGGTCATGTCCAAGTTGTCTTAGTTGCTTATGTTAACAAATAATTGTGGGCTAAGAATGAACTTTTCAGTCCCTGAGAAAGCAGCATTCCAGAACTGGCAGCATCTTTAAGTGTCAGGCTCATGGTTTTGTGCTGTTCAAAGAGCATTGACTTAGTCCAGGCACTGAAACAATCCAAGCTAAATTTCCTTAAAACCTATAAACTTGATGGATTGGCTCAATATTAGCATAATGTGAAAGGGATGGAGTGCATTATCCACTTCATGGGAACACTGTCAAAGGATACAGATGAGAGGCAGAATCATTGGTATGGTGAATTCTGCAGGAGTTCTCCAAGTAAACATAAAAGATGACACCCTCATGCTTGACCTCCCAAAATGATGGGGAATTCTCAGGTAATTTAGACGCTAATAGGATATTAAAATATAGCCAGAAGGAATCGACATTAACATTAGAAAGTGAAGGATGTCTCATTAATTTATAGAGGTTTCTTTCTGATGGCTGGCTGAGTGATGAGCAGTGCACCCAGCTGCTTTGAGCAAGGCCTGGAAACTTGGAGGAGCTGGAGATGCAATTCCAGACCAACCCTATCTGCCTAGAACACTGGCACATGGACCTGCTGGAATGAGTCCAGGGCAGGCACCAGCATGGGCAGAGGGATGGAGCAGCTCTGCTGGGAGGAAAGGCTGGCACAGCTGGGGGTGCTCACCTGGACAGGAGAAGCTTTGGGATGACCAAATTGTGGCCTTGCAGTGCTTGAAGAAGACAAAAGAAATACAGAGAGACAGTGTTCAAGGGATGGAGGGACAGGACACAGGGAATGGCTTCCCAGTGCCAGAGGGCAGGGCTGGATGGGATATTGGGAATGAGGAATTGTTCCCTGGCAGGGTGGGCAGGCCCTGGCACAGGGTGCCAGGAGCAGCTGTGGCTGCCCCTGGATCCCTGGCAGTGCCCAAGGCCAGGCTGGACTTTGGGGCTTGGAGCAGCCTGGGACAGTGGAAGGCGTCCCTCCCCATGGCAGGGGTGGCACTGGATGAGCTTTAAGGTCATTCCAACCCAAACCATTCTGGGATTCTCCAATTTTATGCACCAAGTGCGATCCATACACTGAGATTCTTTCCCATGATTTTAACAGGATTTTCCTGCTGTGGGGTCGGGGGCTCAGGCTCTCAGATGTTATTTCTTTCAAAACCAGCTCTAAAAGTGAACAGAGAAATTAATTTAATTACTCCCATGCAAAAGAACAAGATAGGACTGCACTGGGAGGAGGTCTAGGGAGAACAGGCAGGCCACCACCAAAGGGATAATGCTGGGCAGAAGCTGAGCAGACCAAGGTCCAGAGCTGGGACCAAGATGCTTCCCCAGAGCCTGGCAAAGCTCTGGGAGCAGCAGGATCTGCCAAATCCCCTCGTCAAAGGTTGTCACACTGCTGGGGACAACGCATGGGAAGGACAGCAGGATGGCTCAGGTCAGACACGTATGGCTTGACAGTTTGCTTCCATGTGATGTAGTTTTCCTTCTCAGCATCTGTGAGATGAAAGAAATACAAGAATTACATTTTAAAATTAGTTTGCTGCAAGGAAGCACCTAAAGGTTCTGAGGAAGGGGAGGCAGTGGATATTCACTATCATGATTTGAAATCCTGGATATCATCTTTATGATGTCATAGATAACATCTTTAATCAAATGTTTATTGGGGTTCAAGGCCTCTCCTCATTCAGGTCACAGCTACTCCCAGGAGTCCAATGGTGCCATATCACAATCAAGAGTCTTTGTAGGCTCTGCCTTGCTGAATTTAAAGCTTGGGAAGTGCCTAATGAGAGAAGCTTGGGATAAAAGGGATATCACTCGTGGGCTAGAGGTTACCAACAATTTTCTGCTTTGCCTGCCTTTACAAATGGGGATAACAAGCAAGTTAATGTTACCATGGAAACCTCAAATGTCACTTGATTTTTGTCCAACGCCCTTGGTTTCCTATAACTTGTCACGAATGTGTGTTTATCCCTGGTTTTGTACATGAACAAGCGATGATAATTGTGATTTCTTCCATATTTAAAGAATCACTGCCTTTGTTTTTGGTGTTGCCTTGATGCTGTTTTCAGTTCCTGGGTGCACAGTGGTTGCTTGAGTTGGCTAATGTAATTAATTCTATTAAATTAATCATTGCTTTCCAGTTCCGTTGCATGATTTTTATTTGGAGCTCATTATAATTCTGTGTTTCTTACACAGAAGCCTGTATGTGCTGATCAGGGCATCTGATGACATTTCAAGAACATTTAAATATTTAAAGTTGAATTAAGCTTCAAAGCTGGTGAAACAGTGTTTGATGTGGAAGCACATTTAGGTTTTTCTGCTGCTGTGCTTCCAGGGCTCCTCTTTGGAAAATCAGGGCTTGTTTATTTCTTTTAGAATCGACTAACCCTTGATTTTTAAATTTATCAGCCTTAACATTGGCCTAGTTTTCCAAATTTTCCTCCAGAATCCTCAACAGATTGGAGTGTTGTTGAGTTCATAGTAAAAAACAATAATTGCCAGATATTTGCTCCGAGGTTACTCCATACCTCGGTGGAAAACTGAAATTTAATTTTATTCCAACAAAGCACACAAGTATTGAGTGGATTAGAAGCATTTTTTCCTCCTTTGTTTTTCTTTTTTTTTTTAAGGAAAAAGCTCAGTTGCACAATGTGCAGTTTTAGGATAGAGGGAGAAGCTAAAACAATTGGAGATTAAAATAAAACCTCTCACTGATCACTTCAATGTAAATGAACAATTTCCTTCCTGATTTTCTAACAAAGTAGCATTGATTTTGTGGAATTAATCCTGTATTTCCATTTCCCTTGGTGCACATTGCATGGCTCCAAGAGAGGATTTTCCTGGCATCCAAACCACCCAAATGCTCACAAGTAATTTGGAATACAGCCCGTGGGAGATCTGGGATTCACTAAGTCAAATCTAAACTAAGAGCAGCTTTTCCTGTCCCCACCTTAAAAATCCATAATTCTGATGCAGACCTGGAATTACAATTCCAGTTAAATCTTTGATATTTATGGGCTTTGGCAGCAAGATTTCCCAGCTCTCCTATTTGGAATTAAAAGGAGAGATGTGGATATCAGGGCATGGTTTGGAGGCAGGAGAGGAATTTTTCCATTGCTGTTGGATGGGGAGGGGGCTGTGCCTGGCAGTGCCAACTGAATTTCCCTCTTTTCTTTCCAGGTCTCTGTGGTCAATCAGTTGGACATGCAAGTGATTGTCTCCAACGTTCCTCCCACCCTCGTGGAGCAAAACAAAGATCAGCTCATTGGGTAATCAATTTATTTCATCTCCAGATATCAGAAAATTCCCTGGCTTTGGGATTGGATGGATCAGGGAGTGAGGGATGTTTTTATCTGGTCAATAAGAGCCCTCAGACAAAACATGTTTGCACTTCTGGCTTCTTTTTGGGGACAATTTTCTCTACTTGCCGTCATGGAATTAACCAAAATGGGATAGAAAATGCTGTAGGAAATAGTCTATAACCCATCTTTGTCCTTTTTTTCGTCATGTCAATCAGTGATGAGTGGCACTTCCCACAGGTCTTGTCCATCCTGCTTCTGGTTGTGCATAGAACTTGAAATACTTTGGGGTTGGTGGTCAAGCCAGTCATTGGAAAAGTCTCTGAGTGCCTTGCATCTTCATTGGGCTAGGAAAAATTCCTGATGGATTTGCTCCTGGAGATTTGAGACATGTTCCCCTTTTCTCCCTCTGTTTTGGGCCAGGTGTGTGTTGGTTCTGAGAGATTTGAATATCAGAATCACCAATGAAGTTGTTCAGGCTGAACTCATGGGGACTGCGCTTCCTGGAGCCAGGAATAACTTCCTGAAGGGACGGATTGCCTAGAAATTGGAATAATTTCCTAAAATTTTCCTAAAATAATTTCCTAAAATTTGCCTGCAAATAGGAATTATTCCTTAGAACCAGGAATAACTTCCTGAAAGGAAGGATTACCTAGAAATATGAATATCTTCCTGAAGGAAGGTATTGCCTATAAATAGGAATAATTTCCTAAAAGAAGGGAATGCCTAGAACCAGAAATAACTTCCTAAAATGAGGTATTGCCTATAAATAGGAATAACTTCCTAAAAGGAGGCTCTGCTGAGGTGGGGTCAAGCTCTTTTCTCAGGTAGCAAGTGACAGAAGGAGAGAAAACAGCCTCAGGCTGCACCAGGGGAGGTTTAGATTGGATTTTAGGGAGAATTTCTTAAAGGAAAAGGTGGTTTCAGCATTTGAAGGGGCTGTCCAGGCAAGTGTTGAGTCCCCATGCCTGGAAGTGTTGAAAATCAAGTGGAATTGGCACATGAGGACATGAGTTAGTGGTGAGCAGGGTGGTGGTGGTGGATGGTTGGACTTGGTGGCCTTGGAGGTCTCTTCTAACCCAAACCATTCTGTAATTCTGTATTTCACAGTGAAGAAAGCTTTGGAATGAGTACAAAGTTTAAAAAAATCTGGTTTTGAGTTCTCCAAGTCATCTTGCGAAGTCTTTACCTTCACAAACACCATGGGCAGATCAGTGTAGCTGGAGAATTTCTCTTCTAAGAATAAGTTTTTCAGGACAGCCTTTGCCAGAAGAATTACATCAACTTGTTTTCAAACAGGTCCATTCATTCCTGAAAATATTTGTAGAGAACAAATATCTCAAAAATAATTTTGTAGCTGTGTACAGAGGTCTATTTCACAATGAAATCTATTTATTTCCGGGCTCTCTTCAAATTTCTCATGTTTTTCCTCCTAAAATTAAAAGATCACCCTCTCCCTGTTTTTATACAAGTTTAATAATTCGTGCAACCCATAAAAACAAAATAAGAATTTGTGACTATTTTTGTGTATGCAATCACAGGCAAAGGGAAAACAAATTATTTGGAATCTCAGACCGAAGTAGTTTTGCCACTTCAAATAATGCAGTAATTTATAAAAATTTAATGTGTAATTAATTAACAGAGAAAAAGACTATAATCAGCCCTGTCTAGTGGGATGTGTCCCTGCCTGTGGCAGGGGAGTTGGAACAAGATGATCCTTAAGATCCCTTCCCAGCATAAACCATTCTGTGATCTGTGAATTAGTCACTACACAAGTTACTCAGCTCTTTCTCCTCTCATTTTGGCAAATTTTAATCCCCGAAAATAGAACATTTAGCCAACAGTTGGTGATGGGGAATGTTAGGGAGGGGGGCACATGAGTCATCTGTGGAATTGCAGTGATTTCTCACAATAAAATAAATAGTGGTTTAAACAACTTTGAAGGGGAACTTATACCAGGTCCTGTCGTTTTCACAAGGAGTTATGAGATATTAAGAATTACATAATTCAGTTTTTCCACACTCAGCACAGCCAGAGATGGGTGGGAGTTAATGGTCCATATAAAAGGAGCAAAGCAGGGAAGAGGAGATTTAAAGCATCAATATTTGGCTTAGGAGTTCTTTGAGGAATACAATGGACTTGTCTTTGCTGACACTTCCAATAGGATCTTTTGCAGTCACTCAGTGTTTTCCTCCAAATGCTTTAATTTCATCAAGCTTTTCATACTCTCATCAATGTCCCATTTTCTTGCCTACTTTAATTATGGCTGTGCAGAGAGGCCCCTTTGTGTCTGCTTCAGGATAGGCAGAGAAAATAGGCTGAGGCTTCTTAGAAAATTCAGTGTGTGCTCTTCTCCTTCAGAAAACTTGGTGGAGACAGATGACGGAGTGTTCTTGAAATATGGAAATTTAGCGGAGTGGGGGTTTGTTGGGCAAGGAACAGCATTTCATGGAATCATACCATATCCTCTGTTGGAAACAGCCCTGAGGTATCATCAAATCTCACTCCTGAAATAAACCAGCCAAAGTGGTTCTCAGAGCATTTAATTCCTTGGTTTTCATGTGGTGGGCACTTAAAGCTCTGCCTAAAGTCAGATAAGCCAGACTGCCAAGAGAGCTCTGAGCTTCTCCCATCCTGCAGGGAATAGAACTGTCTTGGGAAGTAAATTCCTCTGTGCACTGCTGTACAGATGATATATCACATCAATTCCTCTGAACTGGAATAGTGGAGTGGCTTACAATGAGAGTTTGGATCAAAGATAGAGAGTCAGAGAGTCACAGACAGGCTGAGGCTGCAGGAGCTGAGTGGGCACCTGGTGCCCCCTCCCTGCCCCAGCAGGGCCATCCCAGAGCCCAGGGCACAGCACTGTGTGCAGCCAGCTGTGCCCCAGCCCCAGGCAGGAGAGCCCCCAGGCTGTGTGGGCAATGTGCTCAGGGCTGGGCACTGCCCAGGGCAGAAGTTGCGCCTCCTGTGCAGGGCAATTGCTGGGCTCAGGCCCTGCCCGTGGCTCTGGTGCCATTGCTGGGCCCCGGAGCAGAGCCTGGGCCCTGCTCTGCCCCTCCCTGCAGCCAGGCCCAGCCAGGCCTGAGGGCCCCTCTCAGCTGGGGCTCCTCTCCAGGCTGAGCAGCCCCAGCTCCCTCAGCCTGGCCTGGAAGGGCACCCACATGCTCCAGGCCCTTGCTCAGCTCCAGCAGCTCCTGGCCCTGCTGTGCTCAGCACCCAGAGCTGGACACAGCACTGCAGAGGTGCCTCCAGGGCTGCCCCAGGGCCAGCATCGCTCCCTGCCCTGCTGCCAATGCTCTGCTGCTGCCCCTGGGATATCAAGATCCCCAGGTCTTCCTTGTGCAGCTCTCCAGGGTCTCTCCCTGTCTTGGTTTAGAAAGATAGCTGCCTGCTAAGGAAGGCAGGAGCCTCCCCTGAAATGGAGAATGTAAACCCTCCCCACCCCTCCGAATTGCTATAAATTTTAAATTAAGGGGCTCTCAGGCAAAAATATGGGAGCAGGAAATAACAGTTCTTTAATAGGGATAGGAAAAAAAAAGATAAAATAAACAATGCAGTACACTAGAACAACACTGACAGAGTCAGAACCCAACCTGACACCCTGTGGGGTGTTGGTGGCAGTCCAATTGGAAATGTGGCTGCAGTCCTCCTGGAGTGTCAGGTGTGGTTCTGTTGGAGCAAGGGGGATCTGTAGAGAAGGGTGTATTCTTCCTCTGAAGATCCAGTGGAAGAAGAGACAGCTGCTGCTCCTCTGGGGAATCCCGTGGAGAAAGCCATGCTGGTGTCCCAATAACCTCTGGATTATATCTGGGTAGCAATGCTTGGCTCCTCCCTCTGGGTGGAACATCTCACAATGGGATGTTATAGTTCTTATCAGTCATGCAGTGACATTCAATAGTCTGTTATCAGTGATATCCCCTCCCGAGGGAGGTGTGATTGTGGTCACTCAAAGAGAGAGAGAAAGCAAACTGCTCACTTGACAAAGGTAATCTGCCATACAGATGGTAACTGAAAACATCTGGCATTGCAATTTTCAACACTCCTCTCACTTCAACCATGTTTTTCTTAGTCAGTTTTATGCTCTGAAAAGAATGGGGCAGTTCCCCAGGTAAAGAAGATCCATGCTGAGCCCCCTAACACAATGCAGAAGGGGCCAGACTGGCTTTTCCCTGAAAATCAAAATGCAGAATCAAGTGCTGATTCTTGGAGTTATTGGTGAAGGAGTTTTTAAGGAATATGAATGCTGAACCTTCCAACTTAATGGTTTGCATATCTAAAGCTGACTGCCATCATTCTTCAAAGGAACTCTACTTAATGCACAGAAACTGTGCTGCACTTAAAAGAGATGTTATAAAATACTACAGCAGTAAATACTGCTGTAAATTATAGATCATAATGTATAGCACATGTACATTGTGCATCACATAAGATTTTATGTCTAATCATAGTATATGAGACAATAAATTTTATATCTGGGAGCTGGAACACACAGTTCAGGGAAGTGTTTCAGATGTGGATGATTTCCCTGAAGTTGTGTTTTTTTTTTTCTCCTCAGTCCCTGAACGGGTAAAAAATCAGCTCATCTCAGCTGCAGGGTATAAATCACTCAGTCTTGTTACTTTTCCCACATAAGAAGTCACATTTCCATGCTCACTGTATGATTTTTGCCAGATAATTACTGAATTAAGTCTAATTACAGCTGACTGCACTGTGTGCCTGTTGGGGTGGTGGCAGTGACCTTGCCCTTGAGCCCTTTCCACAGGTGGCACTTGGTTTCCCTGCCCTTTATGAAAGGTTCCTGAGTCACAGGTCCAGCTGTAGCTGCTTTGTCCTTTACCCTTTACTCTCTGACAGGAACATTTTGGGGTCCCTTCACTCCTGTTCCTCCACTTCACCTCCCCCTCCCCTTTTTCTCATCACTTTGTCACACTGTAATGTTTCATTCCAGATTAAATTGCAAGCTTAGA